GGCTGTGCCCTCCGAGCTCCGTACTGCCCTGGAACAGCCCGAAATCACCGCTGGGTTCAGCTCCTGGCGCTGCACAGACACCCCAAACCCCCGTCCTGTGCCTGAGAGCGCTGTCCGAACGTGTCCTGAGCTGGGGCCGTGCCCAGCCCCGAGGAGAGCACACAGCTCACACAACACTTTATTTTATGAGCCTACAGAAAACTCCTACCAAAAATGAACAGTGTAGTATTCACTTAGCAAAGGGCAAACGTGTTAATCTGTATGTGCGTTACTTACTACCCTCTATAGGCCATTTATTTTAAATGGTGGGTGGGTTTATGAATAACAACTTTTATCGTGGCGCTTGAGAGGCTCTGGACACGCAGCTTCCATTCACTGCAAGGGCTTTGGAAAATCTCCACAGTGGCTCCCACTGTACAAGCACATACACTGTGTCATTATTCTTCCACTGCCGGGCAGCCTAAATGAATTTTAATGCCTTTGGTGTATCACAGGCTTTGAAATTCCTCATGTCTGTACTCCTGACGGGGGAGAAAAGTCTGTCAGACTCTATTCAGTTATTATTTTATTATGATATTTTCCTATGGATATCTGAGAACCGAGCTCAACCCTGCAGGGCAAAGAGCAGTTCCAGTTTGGAGAGCTCGGCTCCAGCAAGGGGAGCACACCGGGTGGCTGGGACTGTGCCCCAGAGCACAGGTAACAGCACCTACAGACATTCTGCTCTTCCAATTATTTTTTAATTTTTAAGTGGATATTCTCATTGTTCCTCAAGGGGAAAGAGTCTCCGACATGAGATAATTGTCTCTTGATAAATCTGGGAAAGGAGACAGACAAAGACACCTGGACATAAACATTTGATTAAACAGAGCCTTTCATAACCCTTTTAAATTGATGTGATTTGAACAGACAAGAAAGAGCAGCGAGGAGGGATTGTTCCCAGGGGGAAGGGCAGTGAGGAGGTGACAATCCAGCCCCCAAGAGCCATCGCAGGAACTGCTCCCCTCTCTGTTTTTCTCACTCCTTTCTCCAAGGTTTCACACAAGTTGCAATACAAGCAAGGTGATCTGGAGACAGACATTATTCTCTGTGGTGCTTTAATGAGACATTCAGACACCGCCATCATTCTCAAAGACACTGCTGTTTATTTAATTTCCCTTCAGCTGTTCCATGCAGACAGACTCCAAACCTTCTCCCTGTGTGTGAGACACCCTTGGCAGATTTGTTGTCCCTCTCCCACTGGTCTTGGCCCTGACTGAGGTGTCTGTGTCACATTTCGGCTCCTGCAGCTCTGTCAGTCGACCCCATGAAAGGTTTTGTTTTAAACCTCATTCCTGTAGTAAATCTTTCCTGCTCCTGCTCCTCGGTTTGCTGTGAGCTCTGGAAGCGCTGTGCTGTGCCGTGAGTCACAGCATAACGAGGAATCTTCGCCCTTCAGGCCTTGCTTTACCTCAGTGACTCTCCAGCCCTGAATTCCCATCGTCGACCTTCACGTGTCAGCCCTGCCAGGAGGAATCTGCAGCTCCCATGACATGGCTTTGCTTCTGCTTGCAGTGAGAGCCAAAGGAAGTATTCCTGCTCAGAGCATCCTTTGGAAAGCTTGACATTTCATCTGAATACTCTGCAGGCACAGTGGGTCCTGGGAAAGGATTTAGGTTAGTAAAAGAAGCAGATGAGACTAAAATAACAGGTTCTTTTGAAGGGATATAAACTCTCTAGCTTGGGGTCATAACAATCATTGAGGTTTTAGGATGTAGAAGAGCCCTGCTAGTGAAAGTTCTTCCTCCCACATGCACTGAGAGCATGTTTTATTCCTCCAAGGAAGTGCTCACCACATTTTTGTCCCTGCTAGAAAGCACACATCACATATTTGATTTTAATTCCATGCTGGAATTTCCCCTGAATCTATCAATATATCAGCTTTAGGTAAATGATGTTCTAAGACACCTCTGAGTGATGTGGTTTATGCTCAAGGTCACTATTTCAGACTATTTCAGCCTAACACCTGAAATACTGGGACTTAGTACTTGTACTAAATACTTCCCACAAATTTATCCACTTCCTCCTTTTGTTATAAATCTACTCTTCATTTCCAGCACTTAAATTCTTCTTGTGACTTTGAAATACTGAGGTAAAATGCTCATGGATAATTTGTATTGGCTTCCAGAACTGTTGGGTTGTGTCTATTTTAAGAATATGTTCATTATAGATTTGGACATTGCTACTGCAAACAGGCACCAGCCTTTCCTTATTCCTTTGCCTTCAAAGGATTTGTCTTTCAGATCTGCCAAGACATGGAATTATTCAGATCAAATCTGGTTTACATAATATTTGTAGGATATTTTGCAAGTGAGATAATCTCATCCTCCTCTCCCAGATGTTTTCAGATTAATACAGGGAAGTTTCTCTGTTCTCTGCAGCACGTGTGAGTCACTCTTTGGAGTGTGGGACATATTTGTGTGCACACTGCCATGGAAACTGTGTTTGTTCTCTGTACAGTAGAGCCCAGGACAGTGAAAGGGCCATTGATGCCAGCAGAGACAGTGACTGCATATTCACCACCAAAAATTGACTGGGAGCACCCTGCACATCCACTTCCCCCTGGGAAAACAAGCTGCATGGCAAGTTACCAGGGAGCAGCAGAATCTTCTCCGTTGCTTTAGTAACTGACAGAGTTGTGGGTTCTTCCCAGCGAGGCTGGTGCGTGGAGATGTCAGAAATAATGATGATGATGAGGAGGAGGATGGTGATGTCTTACATCCATCTAAGGCTCATTTCAGTGCCCTCCTGTGCAATGGATTTGGTTCCTTGTCAGGCACATTCTTCACAAGGATCACAGAGAGCTGCCCAGATTGCAGATGGAACCTCAGGTCCGTGGGGGACTCACCACAGGCACATGCACGGGTGCAGCTGCAGAGAAAAGCAAGCAGACCTAAGGGATCAATTTCAGCTCTGCAGAGAGAAATGCCAGCATTTCACTCCTGTTGTTTTCCTCCAGATAAATAAACATCATCCCATTTTAATCTTAGATACCAAGGTTTGCTAAATTATTTTTTCAGCTCGTATGAGCAGGATCTAGGTCACGAAAACGCAGTGAGCTGAGATGAAATCCAAGAGTTCAGCACCAGGCAGCACAGTGGCTGCACAAGGAGCTGCCCTGGTTCTTACTCCTGGCACTCCAGGGCAGGCAGAGCAATGCCAGGAGCTGGAATTTGGCTGGAGCAACCTTAAAAGTTTTATTTTGAGGATGGGGCATATTGAGGCTGGGGCATGTCAGAACTTTATAAATGTCACAAGTGCAGAGGCTGTATGTACTAAATTGACTTAATGGAAGAAACAGTCAGATTTTCAGGGCTATTTTACCTCCCTATGCACAAATATAAAACCAGACCAAGTTCTGACATTGTATCCTTACCTATGGTGGCTGGGTGTTTCTGCCCCAGTGGGTTTAAACAAGGATGGATGCAATTCAGGTCATGCTGCAGCTCAAGTGGGAGGAAATTCTGAAAGGTTTGTCGTCAGTGTGCAAGAAAGTCGAAAGGAAAGAAAATTCAGCGATAACTACGCTTGTTAGTTCAGCAAAGAGCAGTCACGTGGGAGCCTGGAGAAACCAGATCAATGAACTGAAAGACAACAAATGAGATGAGCCTTCAGCTGTGAAGGGATGGATGTTTCCTCAATCAGGAAGGAACGAGGCAGTTCATAGAAGTGGAATACTCCACTCTGAAGGAGTATTCTAATTTTTGCCCAAGGATCTCAGTTTTTCTTTTTATCCTGAAATAAACCATGTAGCCTTCTGCTTGAGGGTGTTTTATTCTTGGCTCTGTATTTTCTCAGAGATCTGATTTTCCACTGCACTGCACCATCTGCTCATGGTTTACACCACGACAGAGCGGAAGGAGTGCAGGGCCTGGCATGAGGTGTCGGTGCTGCTTTGAACCAGTTGTCTACACGCAAGAGAAAAATGCTGCTTAGTAAGGAAATCCTACTGAGAAAATATTTCAGATTTTTTTTCTCTTCTCTTGCAAGTTTCCAGGAGTTTGGAGCACATGAATATTCCAGTCTTTTCTTTATTCTGTGCTCATGAACTCCTTTATCAGTCTCCTGGGACAGGAGCAGCCCCGGAGGCTGGAAAATGGATCAAAAAGATGTCCTTAACAGAAGCCAAAGAGAGCCAGGAACCTCTTCCTGTTCATCTGCCAGCAGATCACAGAGTTTGGTGTCTTGCAAAAGAGGCACAGGAGCTTGCAGCATCTGCCACTTGCTCTGTGCACGTGCAGGTGGCCCCTGAATCCTCGGCACGCGCTGAGGGTGAGCACTGTGTAAGTTCAGTTTGATCCTCCCAGTAACCCTGGCTGTCACTGGGATCTCTGCTGTACTGTGACACTCAAAGGGGAGGGTGATGAACAGGAGTGATGAACAGACCTGGCTGCTGAGCCAGCCCTTCTCACCATGCCTGGGACACTGCAGAGCCCTGGGACACTGCAGGGCCCTGGGACACTGCAGAGCCCTGGGACACTGCAGGGCCCTGGGACACTGCAGAGCCCTGGGACACTGCAGGGCCCTGGGACACTGCAGGGCCCTGGGACACTGCAGAGCCCTGGGACACTGCAGGGCCCTGGGATCCTGGGTCATCGTTCCCTGCTCATTCCCTGTGCCTCAGCACTGCCCGAGCCAGGGGCATTCCAGCTCCTGTGGGGCCATCCCAGCCTGCCCATCTCTCACCCTGCCCATCTCTCACCCTGCCCATCTCTCACCCTGCCCATCTCTCACCCTGCCCATCTCTCACCCTGCCATATGCTGGGATGGGCTGTGGACGTCCACACCCCAGCCTGGCCCCTGGGGAACAGCCAGCTGGCCAACAAACCCTGCCAGGTTTCAGGGAAAAAATCATAGCTGGGCTAGCTGGCTTTCACTGCAGGAAAGACCCGAGACTGGCAAGCACCCACTCACATCATGGCATGGCCTGCTGGAAGTGATTCGCTTTTTGATTTGTTCAATAAATTAATCTCTACTGCCCCATGTTCTACAGAGCCTCGAAGAGAGATGCTGTTCCCATGCTGAACAGATGGGAAATGGGAACCCTGAAATGAGCAAAGAGAAGGGAAATTTTGACCCATAATAACCGAGACACTGGAAGGATCAATAAGCATTAACTCTGGAGTGTTTCCCAAACACATCTGAAAGGGCAGATCGCAAATTTCCCATTTAAATTGGACTTTGACACAAAGGTCAGCTTCAAATACACCAAAACTGATTTCTATAAACAAAAAAGCAAACAAACCAAATCTTATTACCTTCTATAAAAACTGTTTTTCTCCAAAAAAATAAAGACCTAGAGAAGCAAAAAATTTATTCAGTCTTTGTGGAATTTATTTGGTTTGAAAACTTCAAACCCTTCCAAATTCAGCAGTTACCAAGCCTGATGATCCCAAAGCGTTTGTATTTTTGCCCGGCTCGCTTGTCCATCTGTTTGGTGTCCTGTGGAGAGAAGCAATATTAGAAGTTGTTGATCTGAGATAAAAGAATCCCGGTCTTAGAGGGGCTCACCCGTAGCTCCGACATCCCCCGTTCCCCGCGCCGAGTGCCGCGGGCTGAAACAGCGAGGAGAAACTTCCGAAAATAAACCTCGCTAAACACTTGGAACACCTGACTCTGGTCTCTGAACACAGCTCCGTGTGTGTGTCCCTGTCCCCGGTGATGGGCACAGCCAGCTCCGTGTGTGTGTCCCTGTCCCCGGTGATGGGCAGCTCCAGCTCCGTGTGTGTGTGTCCCTGTCCCCGGTGATGGGCACGGGCAGCTCCGTGTGTGTGTCCCTGTCCCCGGTGATGGGCACGGGCAGCTCCAGCTCCGTGTGTGTGTCCCTGTCCCCGGTACCGGCACGGGCCCCCGGCCGCAGAGCATCCCTCGCACACAAACGGGGACACCGCGACTGGGTGGCTTTGCAATTTCTCCCGATTAAAGCCATGTAGGTTAATCCGTGCTTTCTGTGGGGTGCTCCGCGTCTGCGGAACAACGTGCACGACAAACCAAAGCACCCAACTCCGGCCGGCAGCAGGGCCCGGGGAGCGCTGGGCTGGACCCGGGGAGCGCTGGGCTGGACCCGGGGAGCGCTGGGCT